AATCAGCATTAAGTTCCAGGATTACAAAGGAAGTTCTAATGGATGATAATATTATTTAAACTTGTCCATGTACCTTGAATAACCCATCATATAAATGGAGCCCAATCAATCTGCAATCAGGATCAATGATGCCAATCTATAAACAGGCCCACCCCTCTCAGGGGTAAAATAAATGAGAGAAGGTTCAATAATTCAGTTAAACAAGAGCAATGAGCTTTTTCTTTCTAGAAGCAAGAAGTAACAAAAATAAGTATCAGACAACTCACCTGACCATTGTCAGTTGGACGACCAATGCGATCTGAAACATCTCCCATTGCTCTGCATGACAAACCTTTTAGCAAATCTCTTCCTCCATAAACTTAAAGTTACTTCCATTAATTTTTCTAATGAGATTGGTGTCAGAAACATTATAGGGTAAAAGAGAGCCAATATGCCCATGACAATTAACAGAAGATGCTTGTTTAAAAATTAAAACTCAATCCTAAAATATACAAACAAGCCGAATAATTTTCAAGCTTGATTAGTAAACAAGTCTTACTCAAACAACCTTGTTTGACAAACTCTACTCAAACATGTTAATAATCGACTCAATTGAACCCATGGAAACAGACTTATTTAAAACATTTTTCAAATGCCAAATAAGTCACAACAGTCGCTCCAAATCTTTATTAAGCAAAAAGTTCATAATCACATTGGTTATAAGAGACCAAAATTGGAGGCTAGCAATTTATTCCTTTATAATGTACATGTAACTAAAGCACTGGGTTATATAAGATGTGAGCAACCCCAAACTTGTTGGAGGTCTTACAGTCTTAGTACTATGCCTCTAAGCAACATAAATGAAGCTATTCAGATTGAAAGGTTTGGATATGTAGATGAGGCATAACAACTTAAAGGCTATTGGAGTATCTTTCTTAAGAGGAGGTTGACCATTAGGGAATGAAGAGATAATCTGGCAGCAACTGTGGATCCAGTTCAATTTAGAGTTTCTTTAGATAAATTCTCACACAATTCCCAGCTAATTATATGAAGGCAAAGGTTCCTGAAGAGAAGATTCAATCATGCACATCACTGTAACATATGACATAGAAAGAAGAGTCTGTTAATTTTGTTTTACTCTACAATTGCTTTGTTTGAGATGAGTTGGGTTTTTTTTCAAGCAAAGTTCTTGTGTTTGGGGACAAAAGATAAAAGAAAGGTAGGATTACCGAAGTGCTTTAAATGGATCATAAGAAACTTGTTGATGCACTTTAAAAATATAAACAGAATAAAAGAAAGAAACCAACATATTTTTGAGGGTTGAGCTTGCTGCCTCAAGAGATCAAATTCTTATAGAGAGGGTATTGTATAGCTAGGGTCAACTGTCAAGTGCTAAGTTTTGAGCAACAGTGGATGCTTCTTGATTTCTTAAACATATTGTTACATGACACCTTGAGGACATACAACCTTTTACCTTAGCCCTATTTTTGTATGTCATCCCCTAATATTTTTCATACATGTTACTCATCAGATAATCATATACATGAGTACTAAATAACTCGCTATCTTACTTTTATGACAAGAAAATAGTAAGTTGAAGGTAGTTTGTTATGTGATTAAAAATAAGAAATAATTACATCAAAATATAGTTTCAAACACAGCAAAAATCAATGAAGTCCCAAAATATTGGTGACAAATACAGAGCTAATTGCAATAATTTATCCCTGGGATAAAAAAAAAAATGTATGCTACAGATAGGAAAAGAGGAGTCTGAGTAGAATAAGACCTGGTGACGAGCTCTGATGTCTCGGGATCCCATTGAAGTACACAAAATTTATATCTTTCAGTAGCAATGAATAAGAAATCTTGGGCTTCACCCTAACAAGGCAGGAAAACAACTGGTCAATGAAGGAAAATTAAAGATGCATTATTTATATAACAAACCGAATAACTTCACCGACATGTGGTCGAAAAAGTTCCAGTGTTGCAATTCTTCCATATATTGGAACGTCCAGCATAGGCTGCATGAAGGTAAAACAGAAGAGATTTAAACATCAAAAGAGAGCTACAGCAGAAATGGATAAATAAAAAGAAAATGACCATGAAACGGCAACAAGACACATTAAAATAAACAAGTTAGACATGATAACCTACAGTACAGCTCAAAATAAAACAATGATGGAGCACAGTAGCCTTCTTACTCAGTCTTGCTCACTTGCAAATGATCAGCTTCCCATCCCTATAAACTCAGACACAAACTGCAAGATCACAACACCTCTCTGCTAAGGAAGGAGGAGGGGTCTCTTTCTGAGATAAAGAAACATCTTCAAGGATACTTAATGGAATATGGATACTATAGCTAAGTGTCGGGCACTCCTTGTGTTCTCGAGTGAAGATCCAAGTTCAACACAGCTACTGAGGCTGGTGACTTTTTCAAATTTAGTAACCTAAATAAAACTTACTACCTCATTTCGTTTGGTGTGCCCACAGTTCAATTGCTTCATCATTTTTTTTATTCACCCACCTCTCTCTCTCTCTCTCTTCTACCTTGATTAATTTTTGGTTGTAATTTTGCCACAGTCAATGTATTTCTCTGTAGGAGTATTCCAATTAAGGAAATCAGAGGAAAATAAAAACAGTATAATAACACTGCTTACCAAAATTGGGTAGATACCACTTTCACAAAAGATAATGACCAGGTTTACAAACTAGTTAACCCTCAACCCCTCTTCAGATCCTCACTTTGAAACAAAAGGAGGCATCATTGTGTAACTTAAAGTATATGATAGATTTCACTAACAAAGAGATGCAGCATTGCATAAAAAAAACAGTTTTCATTGTCATTGAGAATTGCAAAATTTACAACCAACAAGAGGACAAGGTGAACCTATACTCAATGTAAGGCAATTGAATTGCTTGGTTGTCTCAGTCTTCAGATTTAACATTAGTTTTGAAAGGCAGGAGTCACACAATATGTACAAAGGGTTCCTGGAGCCTAGGCAGGTGTCTTTTCAGTATGAGACACTTTTTTAAGTGGTATTTAACATTCAGTTAATGAGCCTTTTTAAGTAAATTTCATACTAGTAAAGTTCAAAATGAGTGGATAAAAATATTACTTTTAAGAAAAATAAAAGCCTTTATAAAACAAAATTTAGAGAAGAGGGGCAGGTCTAAGACACCCATTTTTAAACTATAAACCAGACTCAAGATTTTTTTTTTTTTAAGGTATCAAATTTGATTCAACTTGTTGATCTCTAGTTCTGCCCACATCTTAAAGTCCATAATATAAAACAAGGGACCAACAATCAAAATAAAAAAGGGATACCGGCTAATCTGCCAAACTTTGACCTTAGTTGCTTAGCATGCTTCAAAGTAGTTTTAAGGAGGGCTTTAAAGGTCTCTTCAATTAGGCAATGATAAAGGCAGAGCAATCAACCAAGTTCTACTACTATTTAAATATTTCTTTTGGTGGGAATTTGGGAATCAAAAGCTACAACAAACTTGTTTGCTTCGGCACTGGTCAAAGATAAGGTTCCTACATGATCTGGTGCTGAAAAGGAGAAACTAAAATCTAGTAAGTAGAGATGAGAAAAAATATGTTGGTCACATCCTCTCATTGGTCTTTTGGTTTTCCACTCTTTTTCATCTTTCTCCAAGATAAATCATTAGCTTAGTTAGGATAAGTAAAGTAAAAGTTATCTAGGCTAAAGAGATGTCTGAGCCTTGTTAAACTTATATTCCCTCACCATTTAAACAAGTAAAACGTTTTGACTTTTTGAACCATTCATCTAATTCACTTTGATAAATATTTGTGATTTATACATAAGAATAAATATAGTCTTGTGGGCACTTGTTAGAATCGTCTCAATGAATAGCTTATTGATATTTAATTATTATAATTTTTACTTAATGATAATTAAAGATATTATCAGTCAAAGTTTTGCATCGGCATACATGCACTAGAGAAACGTTTCACTTATTTAAATATCAAGGGAATATAAAAATTCTATATCCCAAGAAATGAGTGGAAGACTAGAAGTACAGCTAATTAACTCTAATACTACATTTCCTATACCAAATTACTTGCAACATTTTAACCAGACACGTGCCAAGGAAGACCATCAATATCTTTGATTATATATTAGTAAACACTATAAAAGGTCAATATTTGGATATATACAATAAGATACTCAACACCATCTTACATACTAACATTGTGAGCAACTTTTGGAGCGGAGGGAGTACTAAATAAATTACTCACCTGAAAAGTGTCCTTAGATGCATTCTCATATTCTTATTAAACCCTTCCTATCTATAGATCCAAGTCATTCTTTTGGACAGCAAACATCTAACAGCTAGATGCCAATAAAATCAGGTGTCACCATTAAACTCACATACCTAATAAAGTATTGTTTAAGAAATTCCAAATCCCACATCACTATCCTATGGACAACTCTTGGCCAATGAAATGGGGTTTTATTTTTAAGAAATAGCAAAAAGTAAATGACCCTGTATGTTAAGCCTCTCAAAAGACAAAACTACTAAATTCCTAAACAAGTCGGGTGAAATTCAAGATTCTATCATGAAAATTGGAGTCTTTCTTCAACCCAACACCCTTTTTCTTTACACAATGAGATTATAGAATGCTTTGCTTCTAATTTAAATTATAAAAAGAAATCTGTGAAAAGAGTTTCCTTAAAGATGAGGAGCCTAATAAGAATTTTTATCTACATGACAAAATGACATAATGCCTAATAGCAAATTTAAAGCTCAAAGCTAATCTAACTAAACTTCTCAAATTATATCTGATTTGAAGACAAAAGACATTGCATATACAGAATTTACTTCATTTAAGAGTCCTAAACCCCACTAGAGATATCCTGTACAAACATGAAGGATTGAGAAAGGATAATGATAGCAGAAGTGATCTTATCCTCACCATCGTCAAACTCAAACTCATATATTCGTGTTGGGCACAACTATTCTTGACCACATTTTTAAGTGTTCTAGTCAAGTATTTTGGGGGAGGGAAAAATAATGCATGATTTATAACACAAAAATATAGTTTGGATGTGTTCACGCTTGTGAAGGTGTCAAAGATCAGACATAAATATTAGCGCGCGCGCACACACGCTCTAGTGATTACACACATTTGCTATAGTGAATTATCCAAACGCAATAAATCCATAGTCTACTGCTCTCACAACAGTCACAAGCCACATCAGTCAAAGTCTAGTCATACCAACCTTCTCATTACCACTAAAATTGCATCCATAACCTATCAACTCCCACAGTTCAGCCGAAACTTTCCATGGAGGCGTATGTATAAAAAATATCCAACCCCTTAAAATATTCCTAGATTTGGTTCATGTACATAGTAGTAAACAGACTCATTTGTCTTAAGAGCCTCACCTTTTATTACAAAAATCAAATGATAAAAGGAGACCCTGTCATCAAAGAATTATTAAAAACCTTGAGAAGGTCCACTCAAATATTATTCCAACACTTTTAAAAGATCAATAAACTTTTTTATCCTTATCATATTTAAGATAAACTCCTTCATATCCTCCTCACAAACTTGTCCAACCAACCATTATACTCCATGACATCAAAATAACAGATTAAGAAAGGAAGAATATAGTGAGAAAAAACAAATACTCTCTGAATTTTGCACATTGATTGCATACCAAAAGTTAGGTGGTTTGGAAATTATAGAATACCTGAAGGCCTTGAGGAGTTAGCAAGTGAATCTCAATTCTTGTGCATTTACTGCAATAAAGACACACCATCAGTCACACTAGCATATGCAGTACATATAATATAATAAAGTGGACAATTGCTGTCCACGAGACTTAGCACGATGAAAGGAGTCCAATACTCAAAACGTCATAAATTAAAAATCTATCATGAAGAATGTTGCAACGAGAAAAGGCATTGGAATGACTTATAGTTTCACATTAAGCCATAATTGCCTAGTATTTGGCTATTTTTACATCAAATCTCATATCTCACATTGTGGTCCTTTAAAAGGAGTTTAAATGTCACCCAACATAATTTACCAATGAAATAAGATATGGTAAATAGTTCTTCCAGTCTTTTCTTCCACAATAATCAATTCATATGTATACGATTTCTACAGATTCTACACCAGCATACAAAGGAATTAATACTGAAGAGTAACAATTCAACAGCTAATATTACCAACAAAACTTTTCTCTGCACATACTATACTTATCACATAATGCTACAAGTTTCGTTTCTAGAAAGCAATTGAAAAATTCCTGAAGATGTGAACCTATACCACTATCAACAAATAGATCTCATCGACAAGTTAATCTTCAAATAATCTCCATACATCAAATCTAGCTCAAGCCTGTATATTATGATAATGACATTTGCTTGAGACCAAAATTCATATTGCTAGGCTCCTGGGTGAGTTGGACAGCATTTAAAGGACATGAGACCAATACTTCACAATTATATATGATGCTTAGATTCAAAGAACCACTATTTAAAAACACATTACAGTTTCATTAAGGAAACATTATCGACCAGGCCTACTATTTAATCCCAATTAACAGATCAAAACTCTAAGCACAATTGTTAGTTTTTCTGAGTCATTAGTTATAACTAATCTTTCTAGTTTGAAAGTTTAGGGCACATATGACTACATTTCCTCTACCAACCAGTCCCTCCGAGAGATAAATTACAATTGAGTCAATTCTTAGCAAACAACGCCAACTAATATAGTGAAGCAGGATGGATGGTAACGCACCTAAGTTCTTGATCACTCCAAAGACCAATAAACTGTCATAAACAAAATCTAACCAATCGCCAAAGCTGTGCACCACTTTACCCAGTAAAATCCAAGAAAGCAATCATTTTCAGATACAGCTATGAGCAATTAAGCACTTCCCACCCCATTTAAGGGGCGTTTGGTTAGTGTATTTTTTTGGATAGAAAACGGATTCGATTAAACCGATACCGTTACCGTGTGTTTGGTTTGAAGGCATGGTAACAATTACCATTACCTAAGGGTAATGGTTACCCCTCATTTGTTACATCTCAAAAACTTGGGGTAACAAATACCCTTACCCTCCTCTTAACAAATACTCTTTCCATGGTTAAACCAAACAAATGAAAACGTAATAGCTAAATGATTCATTTTCCCCCTCTTCTTTGTTTCCTTTCCACTCCTTTTCCATTTTCGGAACCAAACGCCCCCTTATTGTTGAGCATATTTTTCACATTATCTAGCCAACTTATAATCAAGGATATAAAATAATTTCACCAAATGGCACTTACAACAGTTTGAACAATCCCATACTCTTCCCATAAGTCACGGAATTCATAAAAATCCAATCATAAACAACTAATAAGAACGGCTTTTTTAGTAAAAGTGACAAATTTAATGAATTTTTTCAACTGCCACTTTGAACACAGTACCTGAAAGCCATGAAACAGACTGAACAAGGTAGAGTGAAATAAAAATAGTCAGAACCCCACTCAACTTTTTCTCTAATACCCTAAATTTAGTGCTCCCGTCTTTTCCCAAATACAGATTTCTCAAAGCCAAACGAAGCGGGATTGAAAACCGTGTCCCCTTAATATATCAATCAATTATCAACACACACTTCGAATACTCCGACCATATTCCACAAAAACTCCCCTTAATTCATCAATCAATTATCAGCACAACCGAAACACTAATTAAAATTCACATAAAGCTAAATTAAAATTTATATAAAACTAAAGCTGCCAAAAAAAAAAAAAGACTTTGAATTTAGAAAACCAAAATAACTCTGAATTAAATAAGTAAAAAAAAAAATTTAAAATTTCATTCAGCTCTTCACAATTACACTAAATCTACTAAAATTAAACAAAATTTGAAATTTACAGTATAGAAAACAAAATCAATATTCTATACCATATTAATAGAAAACAAATTTATTAAAAAATATTGAAATGCAAAAAATCAAAGCATAAAAAAAAGGGGAAGAAAGTAAAACCCTAAGAAAAGAAGAATAAGGAAATTACGCGATAATAAGGTTGAGCTCTTGAGGGCTGGTGAAATTGCCGACGCAAGAATGCGTAACGTTGGTAGGCTTGTGAGCGGTGACGACGTAATTCCAAATGCTCATCTTTCCGATGACCGATTAACTTCTCGCTGTTAGTGTGTGTGCGCGCGAGAAGTGAGAAAGTTTTGTAAACCCTTCAATTCCACTCTTTTATGTTTTCTTCTAAATGTTCTAGCCTCTTCTTCTGATTATAAAGTATTGTCTTTGTAAAAGAATGTAGTCTATGTTAATTTAAGTGAGTTATATTTGTGTAAGAAAATGGATTTTTTTCCAAAGTAAGTTTTATTACAAAATTATTTTGTGAAGTAGACTCGTGGCCAAATTATTTACCAAACTAAATTTATGGGGTACCCTGGGTTTTTTTTTTTTTTTTTTAAAAAGCGTTTTACACGTTGACTTTTTTTTTAAAAAAAAAATTCGTAATTTTTGAATTTAAAATAAAAAAAAATATTTACACTAAAAACGCTGACCTAGCTTAGAGTTTGTGTTGGCAACTTGTTAAACAACCTCAACAAAGATGGGGAATTGGACCAAAAAAGAGATTATATGAGATGTTCACAATATCTAAACTACGCATATCACCTAGAACTTCCAAGGACCCTGTCAAATAATTGTGAGATACATCTATCCTCTGTGTTAATCTCTGCAGATCAGGGGATTGTTACTAAGATTCAAGGAAGATAGGATCAAATTCTCTGATGCAGCGATTGAGGACGGAATTGATCCATTCAGTAAATTTTTCCACCAAGATGAAGTTCTCATAGCATTTGAAGTTCAAACAAAAATGGTGGAACTCCTCCTGTCAAATGATTCTCCCCCAAATCTAAGGATGATAAAGTTGTCATGCTTCGAAGGCTTGCTGGAATTGATCCGTTTAAAAAATTGAAAGGCAGGTCCAACTTTAGCAATTTACGCCAATTGCTAAGCTCATGTGGCAAAGGGCCTTTCAATTTGTTATGAGATATAAAAACAGCTTGAATTTCTGTCAAATTACCGAGCTCTGACTCAGTCAGCGTTTTTAGTGTAAATTTTTTTTTTTATATTTTAAAATCAAAAATTACGAAATTTAAAAAAAAAATAAAAAAGTTAACATGTAAAAACGCTGTCTCAGATAGCGTTTTACACATTGATTTAAAAAAAAAAAAAACCAGGGTATAAAACGCTGTCTGAGACAGCGTTTTACCCTAGAAGCTTAGTTTGGTAAATAGTTTGACCACGAGTCTACTTTACAAAATAATTTTGTAATAAAGCTTACTTTGGAAAAACATCCTAAGAAAATATCAAAAGTACAAACATGTTATTTTCAGAGGAAGTACTAATCCATTATTGTTATGCATTTGCAAATGCATAATAAATACTAAAATATTAAAAATCACATAGAAAAGAGAGAAAAGAGTATAGAGAAAGATGAGTGGGACCACTTTTAATTGTGCCACTGAAAGCTTATATAATATCATTGGCTATTTGGTGATACTATATATACACGTAGTTAGTACTACTGAATGCATATATATATTATATAGTACCACTACATACATACATAGTACCACTGAATATTCAATGGTACTATTTAATCATCCAATGGTACTATTGATCACTCAATAGTACTACTCTAAAGTCAGAATATACATTATGTGTAATTACGCCCTTACCCCTCGTTATGCAATTGTTTATGCATAACAATACTCCCTTTAAACTCCCTCGTTATTTTCCGATGTAGTGTGAATGTCCACACTTTAGTTTCTTCATTGCAATTAATGTCTAGCCAATTTTATTGTCACCCCCTAATGTTATATCCTATAATGTAAGAGTAATTTGCACTACTATAAATAGACATGCAATTACTTGTAGTAACTCTACATCTCCTACCTTTTTCTCTTAATCCTCTAAATTCTATATATTTAATATATTGTGAGGAGTGATTAGGGGATTTTTATCCACCAAGCGCCGTTTGACAAGTGGACCAACCAGGTTCCGCCACGCGTCCTCCACGGACCACTTAAGACACGCCACGTGTCCACCCATGCCAAATGGGACAACCGGCCATCAAGGCCCATTTCAGTCTAGAAGCCCGATCGGCCCTAGGTTTACCTTAAACCTAGAGAGTTGCACGCTTCCCAAGGCTATAAATACTCGATTAATCCTCATTAATCAAGGGACCGAATACATTACGGAACACACTAATAACCGGCTGATCTCGCTAGCAAAGCAGATTACCTACATTAAATACTCTCACCTAGAGAGACCTTATTACTTTAATTTCTGTATTAATTACTCCTTAATCAGGTACTAACTTGACCGTTGGAGGCGGAGCTCTCAGGAGTCTCCGTTATTTTGCAGGTACAGGCGTCCGGTTCCAGTCTCGGAATTGTAACTCTCCCGCAGGACATCAGAAAACCCCGAAACATTTGGCGCCGTCTGTGGGGAGAGTACTTCAGAGATGGCATCCAAGTCTGTACCGACCCCAGAAGAGAGGCGTCCCCTAGACGACCCTCAAGTTCAGTCGGACCATGATACCGAAAGTGAATTTGAAGTTGAAACTCATACAGCTCCAGACGGGACCCTAAGAGCCCGCCGTACCCGTCATACTGAAATAAGGGAACGGGAGTATCTTCAAACAGGAAGCGAGCCAGCAGGCGCACCGCTTGCTCGGCAACAGCCGACTGATGGGTCTGCTCCCATCACAAGGAACGAACTCATGACCTTCATGAGGGGATTCAAGGGAGAGATCCAAGAGTTGATCAACAAAAAACCGCCTGCTTCAGTCAAAGAGCAGGCGGCCAAAAAACCTTCCACTTCACTGAAGAGGAAGCCAGTTCAAGGGCGAGAGGCGACTCCCCATCCTAAATCTAAGAAGCGGGAGCCGTCTGCTCTTGATTTCACAAAACTCCGTTATCCTACGGGAAATAGGAAACCGGTTCGTCATATTCAGGCGGACGGGTCAAAGCAAACGTTCACAGATGCTCGGCACCTGCTAGAGCAGAAGAAGAGTGACCGATTATCAGAGTCGGCTTCTACTTCAAATTTTCAGGACAGTTTGCGAAATGCCTCGATGAGGTCAACTCAGTCGTACCATGAGAGTCAGTCAGGCGGCACCTCCCGTCAGTCTGGCTTTCATAGTGCGCAGGCGGTACCAAATTTGCCATTTGTGCCGCAACAACAATATTTTATGCAGCCACCTCCATTTGGTGGACCTGCAGCAAAAAACGTCCAACCTATGGACTGGCAGCTACGGCTGCTTAGACTTGGTGAACAGCCGTCGGCCTTCTCCAAGGAAATTACTGAAGCCGCTCAGCCGGCCAAAGTAAAAAATGTTTTAGTAGGCGCCTATGATGGCACTACTAACCCGGAAGACCATCTGATGGCATTCACCAACCTGATGTACCTTCAAGGGTTGGATGATCCCACTTGGTGCAAGTGTTTCCCAGCAACTCTCAAGGGAATTGCACAGCAATGGTTCGGCAACCTGCCGACTGGTTGTGTAAACAGTTTCAGGACGCTTGCTTACTTATTTGCCTCCAACTTTGCAATGAACATCCCTGCGAAGAAAACGACCCTTGATTTGGGAACAATTCAGCAGGGTGAAAAGGAGGGGCTTCGTTCCTACATCAGGCGGTTCAACCTGATGAGAATACAGATTCAAGGGTTACCGGATGAGGTAGCTTATACTGACTTTTTTAGAGGTCTCAAAGACGGGTCTACCTTCAAATTTGATTTAGTTCGAAAAAGGGTGGCGACTCTTCAAGAGGCCTTGATTGAAGCAGAAGCCTATATACAGGCGACTGATCTGTGTACAATGAAACAGTCGGACGGGAAGAGGTTCGACAATAGAGAGGGACGACAGAAACAGTCGTCCAACAAAGATGAAAAAAGAAAAGGGGTCTGGGCGGCTGATTCCTCTAAACAGCCGGCCAAGAAGAAAAAGGAATTCAAACCATACTCCCCAAAGTATGTGTTTAACAAGGATAATCAGTTTATCCTAAAAGAAATAAAGGGACGGCTCTCAATTGAGAAACCGCTCCCCATGAAGGGTTCTGCGAGCAACCGGAACCAAGACAAAATCTGTGCTTATCATGACGACATTGGTCATCACACCAACGACTGCATTAGTCTCATGCGGTACCTAGACCGCTTGGCTGATCAAGGTGATCTTGACACTTATGTCAAGAAATCTACGGGGAATACTTCCTCAAAAAAGCAGTCGGCCAAAAAGAATCAACAGGCCGACAGTTCCGATACAGATGATGCAGTCGTCTACACCATTGCAGGCGGCTTCTCAGGAGGCGGCCCCACTATCAGGGGCAACAAAGATAATATAAGGCGGTTAGATGTAAATTCCGTTCACCAAGAACGACCGTCCAAATATACATTTCCTGAGATTGTCATCACTGAAGAGGATCTAGGAGGAATAAGGGGGCCGCATGACGACCCTCTCGTTATTGAATGTAAAGTGGCCAACCAGAGAGTTGGTCGAATCCTCATAGATACTGGGAGCTCTTCAGATCTCATCAGCAGCAAATGTCTGTCAAAACTGAAATATCAGACGGACTGCATACATCCGGCCTCCCACCCTTTAATAGGGTTTGGAGGAGGAGTCGTCCACCCACTGGGACGAGTTGATCTACCCGTCCGCCTGGGCGAAAAAGGGGAAGGACGACACATGGTAGTCCGATTCCTAGTTGTAGAGGAACTCTCTGCCTACAACATGATTCTGGGTCGCCCAACCCTGAATAGTGCCAAGGCTGTTATAATCCCGTCACTTATGCTGCTTAAGTTTGAAAGGGACAATGGAACAGTCGGCTCCCTAAGGGGAGATCAGAGGATGGCCCGAGAGTGCTATCTCTCGGATGTCAAACTCACTGCTAAGGCCACTGGGTCAAGTGGAGAAAAAACAGACCTTGACAATGTCAAGGAAAGTGCGCCTGTTCAAGAAACAGGCGACAGAAAAAGAAAGGCGTCCCAGACAGAGTCCGCCAGAAAGGCAAGAAAATAGCAATCATTGGCAGAGGACCGGCCGGATGAGTTCCGCCCTCAGCCGGCTGGTGAGCATACGGACCTGATATTAGACGACTCCCGCCCTGACCGAACAGTCAAAGTTGGGACGACTGCTCTGAGAAACCTTGGTGATGACTTTCACAACCTGTTGAAAGAATACAAGGACATCTTTGCATTTGAAGTCCATGAAATGCCAGGCATTAGTCCTGATC